CGTCGTGCTCTCTGCTCCGCGGGAGTTGCTGCCGTTTGGCGGCTCTCGTTTCTTGTCCGGGGATATCGAGAGAGCGAGAGAGAGAGAGAGAGATGAAGTACGTGCTGGTGACGGGGGGAGTGGTGAGCGGGCTGGGGAAAGGGGTAACGGCCAGCAGCATCGGCGTCATCCTCAAGGCCTGCGGCCTCCGCGTCACCTCCATAAAAATCGGTGCTTGCCTCGCCTCCTCCAACTTCACGGTGATTTTTGTTCGCTTTCGGTCGGAAAGAAACGATCTTTTTTCTCTGAGGAGGTGGATCTTTGACGTCGGCCTCACTTCCATCCTTCAAGATTGTTTCTTGCCCTGCATTGCTTTCTACTGCCAAAAGAACCCTTTTCTTGCTTCTCTCCTCTTTCCGAAAAGGGGCGTCGGGATGTTCGGTCGCTTGGTCTGCTGCCTTTTCGCAGACGTTCATATCCAATTTTTATCTGCAAATCCATTAAAATTATGACGCAAGAAAAAGAGCGATCTTTGCATCATTTCCCCACCAATTCGTTGTTTATTATGTGGCCAATGCCAAGTTAGGATGAGAAAACGCCGACTCTCTTTTTCCCCCTCTTGAGAGATCCCTTTTGTGTGAGGGGATGCGCTTCTTCTTATCCCAGGAAAGAAACGGAGAAAGAAACAGGGAAATGGATATTGCGTCGTCTAAGGTTCTTCTGCACGGGCAGGACTTTCAATGGTCATCCTTTGAATTCTTTTTGGGCCGAGTCCTCGTTGATGATGCCTGCCCTGGCGCTTTTGCTTTGGCACGTCGTGATCTCGAAACAAAGACTATTTGTGGGACGACCCATAGGTTTCTCATTTATTTTGTGCTTCAGTCGTTCTTCTTTCCATGTCACATAGTTTTCAACGGATGCATTTTCTCCTTCGTGTTGATCGATTTCTACGTACACTTTGGTTCACAAAGTCATTCCTGTGGAAGTTCAAAGACGAGCCACAAAAAATTTCTCTGTCTCACCTCTTTTCTGGTGCTTGTTTTCATCAATTTCTATTACACCAAAAAAAAGGGAAAAAGGAAAAAAAATAAAAAGATAAAAATGTCTTCATGTCTTTGGTCTCATTGTCCGTCACAGTGGCAATGCCACTTAGTTTCTGTAGTTCCAATCAAGATGGTGAAATGCTGTCCTTTGTGAGACTTACGCAGATCCTTATCTGAACACTGATGCTGGGACGATGTCTCCGTTTGAGCATGGGGAAGTCTTTGTCCTAGATGATGGTGGTGAGGTAATGAGCACTTGAGATTTCCACTTACGTTCTATTCAAGTGTAGAAACTGACTTCTTTATCGTTGAAGTAGGCAGATTTCATGCCAGAAAATCTTTGTTCTTTTGCTTAGTTTTACTTTTTTTCTGACGGCCCTCCTTTTTTTCCCTAATAGGTGGACTTGGATCTAGGAAACTACGAACGGTTCCTTGATATCAGATTAACCCGTGACAACAATATCACAACCGGAAAAATCTACCAGGTGCTGCTCGGTTGGTCTTTAGATGTTTATGGTCCTAAAATATTGGCTGCATTAACAATTATGTTGAGATGCGATTAACCATGCAACGAGAGATTTTTATCTCATCTTTGTTTTTTTCCCCCTCATTTTGTACTGTTTTTTGCATTTTGTTTATGAAAATGATTTATAGTCTCTTGTGTCTGGTGATAGTCTGTGATTGACAGAGAGAGGAGGGGAGACTATCTGGGGAAAACAGTCCAGGTATGTGTTTCCTGGAACCATCAACCAATTCCATGCCATAATCTGGAGATTTTCTTAGTAAACCTGAAATGTTGTTTTTCTCTGCCCCCTTTTTTTTTGTTTAAGGTTGTGCCACATATCACAGATGCTATACAAGAGTGGATTGAACGCGTAGCAATGATACCTGTGGATGGTAAAGAAGGACCAGCTGATGTTTGTGTTATAGAATTGGGTGGAACTATAGGTAAATGTTGGTTGTATTAGAATATTTGATTGACTGATTTTCATCTGACTAGTGAGAATCATTACTTGTAGAATACTTGCATAATCATCCTAGTATGCATTCAGGAGCCATTTTGTTTTTCATGATATTGACAGTGGCATTCTTGATGCAGGGGATATTGAATCGATGCCATTTATAGAAGCTTTGGGTCAATTTTCTTGCCGTGTAGGTGAGCAGAATCTGCAGGAACCTGTTTAATATCTTTCCATTTTAATAGCTTATTTTGTCATCTTCCTCTACAAATGAGGTTTCCCCTCATCTTTGAACAGGACCTGGTAATTTCTGTCTGGTTCATGTTAGTCTTGTGCCAGTTCTTAAAGCAGTTGGGGAGCCGGTAATGTCCATAAACCAGTTACACATTTCAGTACTTTGACAGGGGTCCTTTGCAACTAAGTTTTATAATGATCCTATTTTCATGGATTATGTTGTACTTATATTCTTGTAGAAAACTAAGCCAACCCAACACAGTGTCAGGGGATTACGAGGACTTGGGCTCATTCCAAATCTTCTAGCCTGCCGCAGCGATAAGGTCTCTAAGAAACTCTATCTCCTCACTCCAGCGTGTTCCTTGTAGGCTATGATTTTATTTTACTACTCCTGTGTTGATCTAATGTTCCATTTGATGCTTTTGACAGCCGTTGGATGTAAATGTTAAAGAAAAACTTTCACAGTTTTGCCATGTTCCGGTAAATCTTTTAGATTCTTGTTGTCTTGTATGCCATCCGCAGTGAAGCTGCTAGATTTGATGCTAACAATCAACAGTTTCTTTTTTCAGGTAGCAAATATCATTACTCTTCATGATGTTACAAACATTTGGCACATTCCTTTGTTGTTGAGGGTAGTGTATATTTTGTTGAAAAAACCATGAATTTCATTCATTGCTAAAGTTGTTTCTATCTGTCTTAACATCCATATTAACATACCACTTCATCTGTAGGAACAAAAGGCACATGAATCTCTTCTGAAGCTATTGAACCTTCGAGGGTCTGTCTGATACACGGCTCACTTACTGAATGTCTTTTATAGTTCAGCAGTTGCTTTTTCATGATGTATAGCTCATAAAGGAATTAACTTCAATTTATACAGATGTGCTAAAGAACCCATGCTGGGAGAATGGATGGGTCGAGCTAAACTCTGTGATACATTGCATGATCCTGTGGGTTACCTTCTTTCACTTCTATTAATTTTCTATTCCAGTGCAATAATCCAAAGTCTTACCACTTGAACTATCATTAACTTTTCAGGTCAGGATTGCTATGGTAGGAAAATATACTGGTCTTCCTGACTCTTACCTCTCTGTATTGAAGGTGAATACATGCATCATATAGTAGTGTAATGTCTTTGTTCCTTCTATTTTGCCCGTTAGTTGGATAGATCTGTGTTCTTCATTTTATTTGTTCTATCATATACTTGTTTTTGTTGCCACCATGAACAGGACCAAGATATTTAGACTAAAGCTCTTACACTTCCTCCACTTCCATCTACTTCCTGTGATGGCTTTCTCAATGAACTAACCAAGTTTGCTTGTCTGTCACAAGACATTGTCCTTATCTAAAGAAGATTTTTTAAATGCTTAAGAACAATATCAAGGATCAGAAGTTCTGGATACTGCACATGTCATTGATCTTTCAAGGATCTAGTTTAGCATTTCTCTCTATAAGGTTAAATTTTTTGAATCAGCTTTCAGTTTCAGTGGTGTTCATCAAAGCTTTGTAGTATAAAACAAAAGCAATCGACAGGTAGGTAAACACTTGCAAGAAGGAATAGTGTTATGAGTGAAATTGGTAGCAAGAGGAGTCATAAAATAAGAAATTTACTTTGAACTTCTGAAATCTGAAAATTAATAAGAAAGATTTCTGAATTCCACAGAAAAATACTTCCTGTCTCTTTTTGGCTTGTGTCTTGACTCTTGAGTTCAAGTCCATGGGTGCATTATATTCACTATTGCTCTGTCGGCATGTGAAATCAACAAGCTTTTAATTCTTCTTTTGAAGTAGTTAAGAAGGTTCATTACCTTAATCATGGTTTATAGAATCTAGTTGGCTTTACCTTAATGTTTAATTACAGCTTCTTGGAAGTTCACCTATGTCATCGCCTATGCTCATGACATTTAATAAGTCACTGTCAGCGGCAATGGCCACTCTTTCTACGTCCAACTGTCAGTTCACATGATGGTTGACACATGTTTGATATGATGCAGAATTTGTTGTGGTTTCTTTTGGGACTACATATGATGTGCAAAATTTTTTGTCGCCACAAGTAATACAGAGTCTTTGTGAATTTCTGGTGATCTTTGATGTAATTAGGAATCATTTAATGCTCATTTCTGTCAGTTAAAAATGCATCAGCTGATTTTTTTTGAACGTCCTATGACCCTTCCATGCTCAAACTTCAGACTTTTTTGTGAATCCTCGCAGGCCCTTTTGCATGCTTCGGTTGTGTGTCGAAAAAAACTTGTTATTGACTGGGTCCCATCATCTGATCTTGAAGAAACTACTGCAAAAGAGGTCCGCTGATCTGATTGTTTAAACCTTTCCTCATTCTAACTCTTGCTGAATTTCTTCATTGCAAAGATTTCAAGATTTTTCTTTATTCAGGCACCTGATGCTTACAGAGCAGCATGGATGCTATTGAAGGTAAGCTTGCTTCTGGTTAAGCTGTCAATCCTAAATTTTCTATTGTAGCCACGGTAACAATCTGTCATCTCAGGGTGCAGACGGCATTCTAGTCCCAGGAGGTTTTGGAGACAGAGGGGTACAGGGAAAAATTCTAGCTGCAAAATATGCCCGTGAAAATAATGTTCCGTACCTCGGAATTTGTCTTGGAATGCAGATTTCTGTCATTGAATTTGCTCGATCTGTTATGAATATGAAGGAGGCAAATAGTACAGAGTTTGATCCGGTTACAACTTCTCCAGTTGTTATTTTTATGCCAGAGGTAATCATTAATTTTTTGCATTCTCCATCTTGTCATTCCTGGAAATCTTGCACTGCCTCATATATATTGTAATGGCAATAAGGGTTCCAAAACTCACATGGGAGGTACAATGAGACTTGGATTAAGAAGGACTTATTTTGAGGTTGCTGATTGCAAATCTGCAAAGTTGTAAGCACGGAAAATGACTTGACTTTCCATCTGTATAACTCAGATGATATGTTTACTTGTCTATTAAAAGGATATAATTATTAGAATTTCTTTTGACCTTTAAGGTATGGCAACGTCCGCTTTGTGGATGAACGGCATCGGCATAGATATGAGGTATTTTCCCCATTTCACTTTGTTGATTAGAGAAGTGAAATATTATACCATAATTTCTAAGTTAATTACTAATGTCATGTTATAGGCTGTATGTAGTAAAATTCTTGTTTTGAGAATTCTTGATCATTATTTACACAGGTAAATCCTACTATGGTTGCGGAATTTGAAAAGGCTGGTCTTGCTTTTGTTGGTAAGGATGAGACAGGAAGACGTATGGAGGTACTCATCAGGACTTTCTTTTCTTTTTTCATTTACGATTTTCATATTCCTTTTGGTTCTTTTTAGTCTCTCATCCTTTTGGTTCTTTTTAATCTCTCATAATGGTGATGCAGATTATTGAGCTGCCTGCTCATCCATACTTTGTCGGTGTGCAATTTCATCCGGAATTCAAGTCCAGACCTGGAAAGCCTTCTGCTGTTTTCTTAGGTAATGCCTAATTTTGGAACTTGCATAACACTAATGCCTAATCTTGCTCTAAATCAAACCTAGAAGAGATCCACTAATGCATATTATAAAGTGGTCATGTTCACTTCACTTGCCGAGCTTGCACACGAGGTGGCCTGAAAGAATAACTGTATGCTAAATCTTTACGGTTAGTTACCTGATTGAGACTGATGTCAGACAATCTTTGGCTATTAGTTACCGTACATGGGACTATTACCATACTAGTTGACAAGCCAAGGGAATTAGATGAAGATATTTGTAGCCTTTCCTTCAATGACAAGACATGATCTTGACTGGCAAGCAGTTTGAACTCTTCATATTCTCATTTTGAATGCAAGAATTTTGGCCCTCTTCTGTCTCCGTTGTGTGAGGTGATGAAATCGACTTTGAAAGACGGATTTCTTTGCCACTAGAGACCTTAAGCTAGCATGAGGATACTTAATTTTGAAACATATATTGCAGATCTTAAGCTAGTGAGAAGATGGGCATGCAGATTGTATTCACTTTTTAGTAAATTTCTTTATTTATTATTCCTCTTGCTCTCTGCTAATTCTTTTTTTCCATTTTGCTAAAATGTGACGTGACTCTTAGCTGACATCGTTAGAGGATTCATCTGTATATAAAGAAAATGTGGCTCTTAGCTTAGTGAATAGCTTCAGACCTAACTTTTCTTATCCCTATTCATCATTTGCATTTACATAAAGATTGAGCTTGAAATGATTCTCTCTTTGTAAGCATTTGTTATTTTATGTTCCAACATTGTAACACTCACTTGTCCATGTTTTTAGATTCCGAGATATTCCTTTTATTCCTTTATTTTGTTTTGATTTTTCATCATATTAGTAGATTAAAGGCGTTTCCTTGAGGACCTACAAATTCTGAAGGAACAACTTCAAGCCTACATATCAACTAAAATATACTTCCTTTTCCTTCACAAATTCTCTTACAGGACTCATAGCGGCGTCGTGCAGACAACTGGATTCTTGGCTACAGGCTCGTCCTTCAAGTAATGGTTTCTTGACCCCCAAAATCTACCAAAATGGGAGCCTGAAGAAATCCCCCAAGAGCCTAGTCAACGGCAAATCCATTCAAGCGGCAACGGCGTGCATGTCTAATGCGTAAACCGGTTTTTCCGTGTGTCGTTCCTTCATGATCTTGTGGTTTTTTCTTGTCAGCTTCGTCCTTCCTCGGTCTGATTTGCTCTGTGCAGTCGTCGTGAGGTGAAAAGGTTCACCGACCGATGGACTGGTGCTTGTTCCAGTGTTTTAGCAAGGAGCAGCATTGTGTTCTTGCGGTTTGATTTCCTTGAGAGAAGAAGATGAATACAGCAAGGTTTTGTAAATCGCTAGCGCCGACTGTTATTTGACTTTGTATGATTTGATGACTAGTGTTGATGATTGTCTATAGTCGGTCCACAGTGCTCTCTCTCTCTCTCTCTCCCTCACGCACATAAGGGGGGGACTGCTTGCCTAGCTTGGTTAATGTGGCTAATGAGCCAGTGGAGAAGGGAGGACTGTCAAGCTGCGGCAACTACAATTCCTCGCCGGAAGGAGGTCATGGTTCGCAGTGTGGACGGTGGAGGATGTGCTGCTCGCCGGAAGAGTGCTGGAGACCAACGCTAGAGAGTATTCCGAAGGATTAATCGTTTTGTGATGACAACAATAAGAGAGTGACCAGTTGCATTGACCGGTTACGTTGACAATGGTGAATAATGCTAAGAAATAATTGACCAGTAGGCTCCAATGAAGTCGTATAATATAACAGAGAATGAAAGAATAATGTTTTGGAGAATCGATAGACTGGAAAGCAGATGAATAAAATGATTTGCTTTTAACTTAGTTAATTTGCAACTTACAAGAACAAGATAAAACTATCAATGAAAAACTATAATTCAACTCTGTCAATGTCAAATGATTACACTTCTGTAAAGTGCCAACTTAGTCCGAAATCATAGTGTAATTACTACCTAAACCAACTCACTATCTGCAAAATACTGTCATGGTTATCGGGCAAAAGATCACATCTGCAGGCAGACGGCTGAAGAACTTGTTCCATTAGATGCTCGTCCGCAGATATGTTTCCTCCATGGCGTCTCTTTTAGCAATCCGCTTGCCTTGTTAAAGATGCACTTTGAGATTAAAAAGAAGGTTTAACTTAAATTTTCCCTAACAAAGGAAAGAAAACAAAGCTGAAAGTGATATATCAATTCAGAGTGGAATATGGAAATTTGGAAAGTCCACAAATATCGGATGTCTGGGAATGAACTCTCTTGTAACTTCTATTTGGCAACCAGCAGAAATACGAAAGTCGAGAACACAGCAGACGAGAATACCAGTAAAATTCATATGTACCTCAGTGGTGTCGAGAGAAACGAGCTTAATTCCCTTTTTGCAAATGCTGGCAAGGCAAATGCAGCCTTGTGAATCTGCAAATAGTAAGAACAATTCACCTGATTTAACTCCGTGGAGAACAAGATAAAATCTTTACGCCATAAGCCAATTGAAACATAACATTTTCACCAATAAACTGCAATGTTGATAGAGAAGGAAATGCTGCTTCAATATATTAGAGAAACAAGAGAGCATCCATACCCTGAAATCAACCTGAGCTGATGGTGGTCATGTCCCTGTTTCTCAGTCACTAAATTTCCACACTTATCTCACAGATCTCTTTGAATAAAGACATACCGTCTCCCCACAAGCTAGCTCTCTGCGGGGAGTGGTTTGCATGGGTTTTGTCCAAAACTGTTGAGACTTTTGAATTCTACAAAAGTGGTTTTAGCCTTCTTTTCTTAATAGTAGCAATTTCAATACCATATACTCTATCCGGTCAACTAATGCAATAAATTGAAAGTAACTGTCATGGATCAGGACTGAAAACATGTGGGCTCTGTCCCTTAAGAGCATTCAAGAAGAGGCATACTCGAGGATCAATAATGATTGACATACTATATCTCTAATCATAACCCCTATTTGACGTGGAACTACTACAGTACCAGACTCTCTCCAACTTAAACCCTTGACATCCTTATTTGATTAATCCAACTCAGAATTCTAGCATCGTCATCAAATTTATTGGACCATTCAGATTAGAGGTATTATAATACTTCGTAACTCATCAATTTGAGTATCAGAGATTTAAAAATTAATATCATTGTTTCAGTTATCATTCAACATTAAAATAAACATTGATACTTGCACCAAAGCAATGGTAAACATCACTGAACGTTTCAAGTATCATTTAGGTTTTGGTCCTCGTACATAATCTGTTACTGAATTTTTTTCTTTGTAAAAATTAAAACATCATTGAATGTTTCAAGTATCATTCAGGTTTCGAATGGACAACTGATAATTGCATCAAAGCTATAGTATCAAAGGAAAAAAAAACACAGTTAAAATACAAATTATGAGCCAGGAAGTAAGAATGTGTGTGCGTTTGAGACAGTAATGGTACCTCTGAATTATAGAATTTCAGCTCCTTGTATTTAACAACCTCCTGTTTGTCGATTGGGTTTATTGGATTCAAGAAATTGACAGGTGGGCCGTTTGTAGAGCACAACAGAAAACCAATCACACCACTGCATATTGATTTTGATCAATAATGTATTCTTAACTGAAATGTGGTTCAAGAAAATTAAGCGAATCCAAACTATCATGGTAATTTTATGTAGCTTTGACTTGTACAAAATATGACCCTAATGGTTAAAGAAGCTTGAACATGGAGAAATGGATAGGGTGAACAAGAAAAAATACTAAGAATATGATTATTCATAAGAAAAGGTCACTATAGCAAAAAAACTATCACCCAGGACTGAGGATCTGATTGTCTGATCATCCTATATATCAAGAAATCAATAAAGATAGGCACTAGTATTACCTGGCACACTATTACTGAAAAGCTACACACTTAAAACGCAAGCAGGAATATCAAAAAAATCAAATTGAGAAGTTAGCAACAAGTAAAAAAAGTGAACATACATGAAATGAAAGTTGAATTTGGTAAAATTAGATTTAGGTTCTCAAGCACAAATTGAAATACCTTCTAAATTCAAAACTGAACACTTCCCAAAGCAAGCAACTGGGACAAACTTGAAGCACTCATCAGGATCACTAAGAATAAGGAGATTAAAATTGGTTTTTGGGAACAAAGATACTCGGTCTAAGAATATTGATGGAAAACATCAATAACAAAAAACAGGCTACCAACACAATAAAATTTGAAAATTTGGATGAACGAAGTGTCTCATGTCTCCACTATGGAACACCAAATAAGTAAAATAAAATGCTGCATAAAGTGCCATGTGGCAAATGAAAAACCAAAAGTACGATATAAGTCTACCTAAGCCCAGCTTGTAGGCTTTCCCTGCCACATCATGAGCTTTCTATCAAGAAGAACCTGATGCTTTATTGTATGGTAGACGAGCAGTTCACAGTTCAGAAATAATTTTCTCAAAAAATATTCACAAAAGACTTTGTAATAAATCAAATTATGGATTTTTTCCTGAAAGCATATGTAAATACCTAGGGTATGTTGGAACACTTGCCCAGGCATAGTGGACAGTGCTGAAGGTTTCACGACAGATTGAAAGCATTTCCTGAATGAGATGTGTATGCAGCCACATGCTTTCTGCTTGGTTGCAAAGAACGCCACCAGGCCTCAAGGCCCTTGCAATTATCTCAAAGAATGGCTTTTCAACAAGCTCTCGAGCTGGTCCTATAATCACCAAATAGTCATGATGAAGTAAATAGGTGCATGCCAATAGTTGTTGTAAAGCTCCAAAAGGTACAACTAAATTTGATGCAAACATTTACTATTCAGCTTTACAGAATAGAATTATAGCCAAACAAAAAGAACAAAGTTTTATCCCAAGAAGTCCAGATTATACTCAAAGCTATGGTTAGATGTAAAACAAAGAGTTCTAAGAATGTCAAAGTTGTGTTATTCGTATTGTGTTGCCTACCTTGCAAACCTCAATATGTCAAGAGGCAGTCTGATCCTTCAGAGCTCCTCTAAGCATAATTTGATCCCTTTGGGGGACCACATGGTTAGGCTGAGGCTTGCAGATTTCTTGTAATGTACTAAAAAGAGAAGTTAACCAAGAATCCAAGAATTTCCATTAAGATGAACCCAACAAAAAAAATCGAAGTATTCTCTGTCAAGTGAGCTTATTAACTGAATGGATAAATCAAAAAATGTTTCTAAAAATCCTAATAGCATATGCCATCCTAATAGCATATCCTTGTTGACTACTGACAAGGATATTTTTAGTCCTCTCTTAAAAACCCCTAAGCAGCTAATCTATTTGTGGCTACAGCTGCAGTTGCAGCAACTACTGCTATGTAATGCATTAGTATAACCAAAATATGGCTTAGACAAGCAAATTATTTAAAAACCAGAAACAAATTAATCTATTTAACACCCATTATATAGCCTCCTCTTAGTGCATTCAGGTTGGTTAATTCTTCCAGGCAAACTAAAAAAACATAGTGCTCCTCAACCAAAAAAGGCAGTAACCAACGAAACAACTGATGAGGCCAACCCTCTTTATAAAAGAGGGTTTAGCAGCACAGGGTGGACAAATAATGTATTGGATGCAATTGGCAGAAAAAAATACTGTCAATATGTGTTGCTATGCTTTCTGCATGTAAACAAGGAACCTTTTTCTGACAGAAGTTGCTTGGATTTGCTAGCAACATTTATATACAATGTCTTCCAAGGAAAACTATTAAGAAGATTATAAGATGTTATAGTACATTAATTGCTAATCCATATCGCAGGCCAACATGTTCTTTTTTCCTCTACGTTGTTTCAATCTTTCAATCAAGTGAAAGGCAAGTCACTGATAACTGAAAAACGATTTTGTCATCAGATAACAGTTTAACACCCCTGCATGACTGAATTGGAAACAACTTTCTGCTGCTACTCAATGTTGCAAGACAAACTTTTACAAAATTGCTATGTCCCAAAAACATTATCAAGCACACAACATAATGTCATATGTGTTCTCCAAATGCACCCTCTTGCATGATTAAGATTAAAAAAACCTCTATATGAATGAATAAAAGAGACATGGAACAAACCTATTGGATCAGATGAATCAACAATAATTGCATCATACATCCCTTCAGGAGTATCTCGTATGAATTTAACCGCTGTATGAAGACCATAGAATAGATATTCAAAATTAACTTTTAGGAAGGTCAAAAGGCTAACTTCTGGAATAAAAAATCTTGTAATAAAAATACATTTCATATGAAGAATGACAAGATAAAATAAACTATTTCTATAAAGTGATCAAGTTATTAGAATCATACAAAGCCTAAATTTTCAGCTCACCATCATCGATATGTAGATGAACACGAGGGTCCTCGAAACCAACAGATAAATCAGGAAAGAATTTCTTGCAAACCTACAGAGATAAGAGACATATAATCAAGCAGCAAAATGTATCCTAAATTATACACCGACAAGGGTATAACTCTATACATCTATGACCATCTTGTCGATTTCACATATATCGATGTGCTCCACAGAACTGTGCCTAGCAATTTCCCGAAGAACACCACCATCACCACCTCCTAAGACCAAGACCTGCAATAAGGAACTCAATAATTTTTGGAGGGAAAAACATAAATCATTCTGATAATGAAACACTACACAGGCCAAAATCTCATGCTTTTCAAGATCGTCAACAAATAATTCAAATTGAACAGCTTGTGATGATGTAGATGATGAGAAACTTCTGCTTTAGTGAAACTCTACCTGCATTGCTCTCAGACAAGGTTCATGATATTTGTAAATTATGAATTTGCATTGCATCAGATAAGACTAAACGCTTTTACACATCAGCTTAGCATCCCCAATAAAGTGGTACATTTTCCTGGAGTGAAAATTCAAATATGATACTTCATACAGTATGTGAAAATTATAACCAGTCCATCAAACTTTTCAATTTAAATATACCAAGTGTATGAATCCAAATGTGACCAGACATGCTTGATGCTGATAACATTAATTTGACAAATTTAAACAGGAAGATGCTAGAACATGGAACATTCATTTGACAAAATTGCTATATGTCAAGAACAATACCAGTGAGTAAGAAGCCAATTCATCGTTCTCCAATATGGTAACTTAAATCACATATTTCTATTTTTCAAAAGTGGAAGAAAGGATTACAGAAAATCCTTTCTGTGAAATGTTGGGCTAGGCAAAGTAAAAACAAGCTTTGGTGAATCAGCCACCATTTACAAATTAAAATGCACTATTTCTCCATGTTGATAGAAAAATTAATAAATTTAACCATAATCATATGATCATATCTTTTTTCTTCAAAGAGCATTTTTTGCAAACCACCTAATATGTCTACCATGAATAGACTGATTCTTTAGAAAAACATAGGGATGTGTTGCACCAACAGTTCCATTCATAAAAGCATAGTTTTAGAAGAAAGAACTTTACCTGCTTCTCCAGCTTTAAAAAAAAAACCCAATGGAGATAAATGTTAAAAATTAAGAACTAAGTGGCGGCTAAGTAATAAATGTATAAAATATTTTGCAGGACATGAGTACAAAAAAATGGATGGAAAATACTTCCAGTTCTATGTGCAAACAAAACCCAGTGAGTGGTCATAACAACAAAGCAACTGGCATCGTAGACTAATGTATTTATTATATTGCAAAGTAGATTTATATTGGGAAAGCTTAGGTCAAGAAATTACGGTTTTTGGTGATGGAATTGAACAAAGTGGAAGGTGTGCAATCATCTCTTGGTAGGCGCATTCATCTCTCTCAGTTAATTGGACAATGCCATCGAGAGCAAGTACCTTTCCATACATTGAAGACTGGAAAAAGGATTAGCAAATAGCTAATTAGCTACATCAAACACCAAAAGAACATTATCTTTAGAAAGAGAAGTCTAATGCATTTGCTTCAAAAAATAAAAAAAATCAGAACCTCAAAAACCAGAATCTCTTGGAACTCTGATTTCCCCTGATAAAGTATTTTTTCCACCTTTAAAGAATGTGCCTCTCCTACATTTAGTAACTCACAGTCATTAGCTTAAAGAATATATCTCCAGAATGATTTGATAGTGAAACATCTAAAGGAAAGTGTCAAATTACCATCGTCAAAAAATAATAATAATAATATAGTATAATATAACATAATATAATATGCTTCAAAGAACCAATTCAAAAAGGGGCATTTCTCTGCAAAACGTCATTACTATTTTGAGCGTGGACTTTATTCATATAAGAGAAAGAGAGAAGTAACATAACCAATCAGTCCATCCTGGATACCAATTGGACGGCTTAGAAGCCTGGAACATTCATTTTCTTGATGGTTGTAGAACCAAAAGTGGACAGCTAGTCTTGGAAAGTAAATCACACTTGTTCAATAAGCAAAACGCAGCATGAAGACACCCACATTATCTAAAACTAAATGACAAACGTCACAGAACCACAAAACGCATAAAGAAGCTGAAAAGTATCAACACACACCACAGCTGAAGTGGGAATAAACTATTAGGCCAACAATCTGATCTGGGAATAAACTATTATGTCAACGTGGACAAAGTCCCCGAGTTGTCACAAAAGTCAACCGCTAGGCAACTGAAAAATGCATGCAAAAGCGCAGTAGCTGTTTCGTTTCAAGAGAATGATAATTCAAACAAGTGACAGAGACTACCAGGCCACATGGGGTTGTTGAAGTACACCAATTCGCCGTCTGTATCTGCACAAGGGACAGAACAAGTCATGAAGCAGAAACACATTCAGAAAGATGCATTCACTCAACCCAAGCATGGCAAAGGGTATACCGACCAGAGAGCGGCTTGGAGAACCACCCAGACACCACCGTCTCATGGCACGTGGCTTCGGACTCGGGAGCCGAAGCTCTCGCCTTTCTGCAGCAGGGAGGAAGATCGTCCTCCCCCAACACCCTGGGAGCATCGGACTCGTTTCCTGTGGCACCTTCCCCGGTTGACATCGTTTCCCCTCTTCGGGGCTCCACCAGGCACTAACACTTTTTATGACAAAGAACACCAAAATCAATGTCAATCACGATCGACAACCTTCCAAACTAACCGAGGGGAGCGTCGATTAGGGTTCACACCTCGCGAAGGCTTCCGATTCAGAGTAAAGCTTGGAGAGGAGGAGCCGATGTCTAAGGCGGCGGCTACGCCCGTCTGAGGGCCCTTCATATATATATATATATATATATATATGTGTGTGTGTGTGTACACCTCACGCAGATGCATCAAAGAGATGCATCACACACGGGGAGATCATTTTTTGATTATGATGCATTCAATTGCTTCTTATATTTTTGTCCTAACCAAATTATCAAATAGGTGAAGTGAACATTTCATTCAATTGCTTATCACCTAAGTTTCTTTATCGATTGATTAAGATGTATTTTGGTGGGTAAAGTTGTCTGACAATTTCTTTGTCTCTTTTTTTTCTTTTTAATATAATATAGTAAGTCGAAGAAGATTATTGAGGGTTTCTTTGCAATCGATCATAGGAACTCGAACGGTTTCAGATTGTTAATGAAGGTGCTAATCAAGATCGAGGAGTGTAGGTCTGCTAAAAAGGTCCCTAATCCAACATTAGCCATTATGTCAAATGTCCAAAAACAATAGTATACTCTTAAATATCTTAGATGCTCTCTTGATGTTCATTTCAAAATCGATATCTATCTGCCATATATATATGCATTGAGGAAAATGTTTTCTTTACATTCTATGAATTATCTGTTGATATAATATTTCTAGTTAATACGTCATTATTTTCTGATTGATTGGGGTTCGAATCTTGATTGGATGTGGATAATTGCCACGTTAATAATGATGCTATGAAGATGTAGCCATTTTGAGATCACGTGTACATTTGTTTCCTTCGTATGTAAATTAGCAACATGAATCACCAGCATCATTATCATCTTCCACACACACACACAAATCCGGAAGGTAATGGTAACGATTATTCGAGGTAGTAATGATGGTTAGCGAGCTCTTTGGGATCATAAAATATATTTCTTCCGTAATATAAACTCCTCCATCAATATCTTACAATAGATGTATCTAAGAAAGTGTATCTACAAGTGATAAATCATTCTCCATTCGCTATAAAGATTTAAAGTATAGAAATATAAATTTCCTTCATTTGTCTATAAAAATTGAAAGTCGAGAAAAACAAACTTCCTTACGATAAAAAGATGATCACAAATTTTTTTCTCTCCGTTTATGATAAGAAAGGTAATTCTAAACTCTCTTCTCTTTCTTTGCGACAAAAAAAATATATCACAAATTTTTTTCCTCTCATTCAACATATAAAAATGTATTTCAAATGGGGAGAAAAGTAATTTCTTGATGAGAACTGCTCTAACCCATATTTGGAGACCTCATATTACTAATTAAAGCATTGGAAGGATTGGGTCGAAAAACCCACCCGACCTTAGTTTTTGTATATGAGGCATCTCGAAAGCGTAATACTTATATCTTGGGAGTATAATACTTCTATCTTGAGACCCATCTCGGAGACACTTCGGATAATCTTACGCATATAGGTCTTGACTATGTCAAGTTGACCAAGACGTTAATGATAATTTTTTCCTGATAGTTTGATGTTAGAAGAAGGGTCATATATTACAAGAACGTCCACCTAATCAACCCTCTCAAAGAATGTTCCAGCGAGGAGGCCCCATCTCCGGCCCACGGTTTTTTACTCAAGGGGAAAAACTATCATCCTTCCCATACGTGGATACGTCTACCTCGGCATAGATGCAAACAAGGCACTGACATCTGTTCAATAACTTAGGCATCTCACCCTCAAGGACAAACTAGAGCCACCTGCTCGTTTCTGCCAAGGTGCTTCTAAACCTCGCCCATCAGGTACATATGCTTTATGAGAATGTTGTAAGTTGTTGCCCCACTCTTGCCTTAGCTAGCCCAACCAACGATGTCACCATCTCAACCACGGACGACTCCTCAATCACCATTGACACCAGCACTTATCGGAATCCCCCCAACCAACACGATGGCAGCATCTCAAGATCACCCAAGGTCCGCAAAACTGCCAGCCAAAGGGGCGTCCCACTCTTTAATGGTGGAGTTGGGCGCACCATCACTATGCTCTACCGTAATCCGAGACCCAATTGGTGCATTCAATGGATGACTCACTAAAGGTCCAACGAGAGAGCTGGTAGGGTTCCATCAGCCTCCACAGCGAGAAGCTTGAGAGGCAGCTCCTCAAGGTGATATATGCTTACATCATGCAGATCAACGTCCTATACCCCATGCTCACCTGGAAGAAACATTGATATACTTCTTGGAGTTCCGACTATCACGGTTGTTGTCCACCTCGAAGAAGAAGAGCAGGGTACAAGCACTCATCGACTAGCTCGATCTCCAGTCTACTACCATGACCATCATCAGCAATAAGATCCACCACAATGTCTCTTATAGAGAGCATCGTCATGTGTTAATCAAAATCGACATCATCTATGGTGGAGGGAGGACTTGAAGTCCGCTAGGTGGGAGGACCCAAAATCCGCCACGGTGGAGGGAGGACCCAAAATCCGCTATGGTGCAAGGAGGGCTTAAAGCCCGCTATGATGAGAAGACCCGAGATCTACTACGACCGAGAAGGGATATAAAATTCGCTATGGCAGAAAGAAGTTTTGAAGCCTGCCATGGTAGAAAAACTCGAGATCCATTATGATGGAGAAGGGACATGAAATCTATTATGGCAAAAGAAGATTCGAAGGTTGCCATGGTAGGAAGACCTAAGATCTGCTATGGTGGAGAAGAGACATGAAATTTGTTGTGACAAAAAGAAGATTTGAAGTATGTCATGGCGGGAAGACCCAAGATCCATTACGGTAGAGAAGAGATATGAAATCCATCACAGCAGTAAGAAGATTTAAAGCCCGTCACGGTAGGAAGACCTGAGATCTGCTATAGTAGAGAGGAGACATGAAATTTGTTGTGACAAAAAAAATCTGAGATTCACTATGGTGGAGAAGGAACTTGAAATCTACCACAATGGAAAGAAGATTTGAAGCCCCCAAAGGTGAGAAGATTCGAGATCTATTACGATAGAGAGAAGATTTGAAGCCTGCCACACTGGAAAAAATCCAAAATCTGCTATGGCAAAGAAGGGACTTGAAATCAATCACAACAGAGATGCAAGGCTAAATACACCCAAGATGCATGAGTTAGGAAAACTTGACCCATGCTAAGATAAATCTCCTACGGTGCAAGCTTAAAGCCAAATGCACTTGAAATACGTTAGTTGGAAAAACCCAACCTGCACCAAGATAAATCTGCTATGGTAAATGCACAATGGCAAATATGCCCAAGACACATAAGTCAGAAAAACTCGACCTGCACTAAGATAAATCCACTACAGCGGAGGCATAAGTCGAGAAAATTTGACCCATGCTAAGATAAATCTACTATGGTATAGGCGCAAGACCAAATGTGCATAAGACGTGTGAGTCAAAAAAATATAACCCACGCCAAGATAAATCCGCTATGACGGAGATGTAATGCCAAATGCATCTAAGACATATGAGTCAAGAAAACTTAACTCTCACTTAGATAAGTCCACTACATCGGAGGTAGAAGGCCAAATGTGCCTAAGATACATAAGTTAGGAAAACCTAACTTATGGCAAAGGCATAAGACCAAATGCGCCTAAGACGTGAGTTGGAAAAATCTAACTTGCGCTAAGATAAATTCGTCATAACGGAGGAGGAAGGTTAAATGCATTTAAGACACATAAGTTGAGAAAACTCGATCTGTACCAAAATAAATCTGCTACGACGAAGGTGTCGGGCCAAATGCATTTGAAACGCATGAGTCGAGAAAACTAGACCCACGCCAAGATAAATTGGCTACAATAGAGGCGCAATGCCAAAGATGCTTGAAACGTATGAGTCGAGAAAAACTAACTCGGGCTAAGATAAATTTACTATAGCGGAGGTGCAAGGCTACATACGCCTAAGATGTGTAAGTTGGAAAAACCTGACCTATGCCAAGAGAAATCCACTACGGTAGAAACACAGGCCCAACGTGCCCGAAATACTTAATTCGAAAAAAATCAACCTACAAGATGAGACCCTTCTTATAGAAGTCATATGTACAAAGATTCAATACAGAGAAACATAAGTTTCCTTCTTATTCATTATAGCAAAGAAGATAATTATAAATTTTATTTTCTTTCTTATGACAAACAAGGAGAACTACTCTAACCCACATTTGAGAATCTCATATTACTAACTTGAGTGTCGAAAAAATCGAGTCAAGAAACCCCACTCGACCTTAGTCTTTATGTAGGACACACCTCAAGAGCACAATACTTTTACATCAGATCCATCTCGGGATCACTCTAGATAATTCTATACACATAGATCTAAACCACGTTGGACTGACTACGACAACGATATTTTCCCCTAATGATACCACAAAATTATTTTCTTTTATAACATAAGCAATCCACATCACTATCATCATTGGCACGATCTGTTCCAATATCCTACAATTATTTGACTATCTACTCGATATTAAATGCTGAGAGGCAGTTGATTCGCGTCTCCGGGCTAATTACTTGGGATATCCCCTCATATGCCCAACACGGCAGGAGAGACGTCACGGTGTTGAGGTCAGAGCAGTGTCGTGATCATACCACGGGCTTCCATAGTAGCCTGCATCATTGCGTGCTATGCGAGGATGGCAGCGAACTCGGGGAACATGAAGGAGACTTCAAGGATTACAAGCTTCGCTGTCACACAGGAGGACGACGCGAGCTTCACGCGCCATAGGCTGTGCTAAAGGTACACCCTGTGACGTTCCTGCACAAGATCTGCAACACCGTGCTGTTCGACAGGCCGACGAAGCGCGGCGTCTTGAACTGGCTCACGGCGGCCCCGAGGCCCAGGTAATGGTGCAGGATCGTTTGGAACGTCCCCCTGCGCACGATGCGAAGCTCGAGAGGCCCAATGGCGCCGACCTTCCTCGACCCGACGTAGCCGGCGTCGACGAAGGACAGGTCTAAGCAGTTGCAGCAGGCACGCAGGACCTCCTCGGTGGCGTCACAGCTCAGCTCCCAGTAGATCACGTAATGTCCAGGCTCCGTGGAAGTGTCGACATGGCTGGTGAAGTCGACGACCTCGACCTTCTCCTCCGCCAGCAGCCGCGCTGCCGCCTCCACCGCCAACTGCAGATCCTTCTCGGTGTTCTTGTCGATGTTGATGCTCAGCACGAGGCTTCTCCTGCACACGAACTGAATCTCCGGAGTGGAGTTGTGGAAGCCGGCTACCCTCACGATGTCTCCCAACCTGTATCGATACAGGCCTGTCACAGGTTGATCACTCGTTAGTGCTGAGAAGAACCAAGATAAGTATCATCACACATAAAACAGAGACTTAAGAACGGGAGATCGAATTTAACTATGCAGATGATGTGATCTATTAAGCTTTATCAAGTTTGACCATTCATCCATTCTGACTATTCAAAGGGAAAAGTGACAGCTCGGTACACGGGGCTTCTACCATTTTGACCATTCAAACATGTAGTTCATCAGTCAAACCAAGTCACTGTCATGAGATGAAGCTACAGAACAGGGTGGAAGCTTGTGCATATATAGTTCATCGATTTGTGCATTCCTCTCTCGATTTAGTCAAGAAATCTACAGGATTCTTGTCTTGCTGTTGAAAAGTCAACCGTTCTTACACAACAGATGTGCATAACACTAAACTGTTGATTTCATATAGCAAACTCAGCAATCGTTGTTACTTTTCTTAATGATTCTGCTCTTAGCATTTCCATCATTGGAGTTTTTATAGCACTTAATTGCAAAAAATATCAACAAAATAGATAAATGAGGAGAGTAGAGTTCATCAATACCTGCAAAATTGGTCATCACAATCTCGTACTCTTTGCCAACTTCAACTTCAGTAAGGCCAATCGGTTCAGCTTCTATATAGTGAATGGTGGAGGCACTCTTCTCCGGCTGCTGAACCTCAGATTTCTCCAAAGGGATGAATTCGAAGTAGCCGATGTTAGGAAGCACAGCAAAGGTAGCCAATTCAGGTGGCAAACTGGGGTTGACGTTAGCACCGATCCATCCTTCTGAAGAACCATAGTCAGCGCTCATCAGAGGTAGGCTTCCTGCATAATGCCTCAACTTCTTCAAGTATGGCTCCATAGATCCAGTCATAATGCCATAGACATACTTGGCATTGGGCCAAAGCTCCGGGATCACACCATACCAGTTGCTTAATCTCACACACACATTGTGTATGGAGTCAGCGAGGCTGGGATTAGGCCTTAAGAGCTTGGAAACAGCTGCACGAATTGATGGGACGGTGATTCTGCTGGAGAGAACTCCTTCTCTGATATCTGCACACAGTTCCTCCCACACATGTTCGAATGTCTGAAAAGCATGGACGATGCTGTGTGCGAAGGTGGAAGATATGATCTGCACTTCGTTGGAGAAGATGAGCCCGCAAAGGAGGTGGCAGTACAAGGACTGCTGGAAGTCCGGGCCAAATATGACTTCGTCGGGACTGCAGCATTGAGATTGGATGTCCTTCATGGTGTGCTTGAATTGCTCACTCTGGAACACATTGGTTGTGGCTGTTGCTGCAGTGAGCCCCCCTTGGGTCGTCACCCGCTTGCTGCTGTATATCAACTGCAGAGCTTTCCCATTGCCTATCGGATACTCTCTGCAAACGCAACAGATAATACAGGGTAAGATTCAGCTTTGATACTCAGTCTGGCAGCAGTGAGCTCCATACCTGTTTCTGAACGCAAATGAAGTGCAATAAATCTGCATCGTGGATTGGAGTAGCTCACCGTTGAAAGGCACAAACTTTGGTTTCCCTTGCGTGGTACCAGAACTGTGGCAAGATAAACAAGCTTCCTAAGAGCGAGGAAGAGAAGATACACCGTGTAAAGGCAACGTCAAACAGAGGCGTGTCCAACAGCGCTACCTCAAAGAAATTGAAGTGATGGGCTTCCCGGTGAGGATGGGAGAAGAATCTCCGTCGGCGATTCTCTGGATGTAAGGCTCAAGATCGGCATGAGTGACCAAGGGGACGCAGGCCTTGAAGCTCTCGGGGTCGGTTCTTCCTGCAAGGCCTAAGCTCTGCAAGTACTCGGCTTCACCATTTTGCTCGAGAATCCATCGGAGAGTCTCCGTCTGTTGACGCCCAGCGTCCTTTGACAGTTCTTCGAATTCGTTTATCACGCTCTCGAGGCTGAAAACTCTCATCTTTCTCAACTTAAAGGGCGATCTCCGGGGTTACTGCTGCAAGCGAGGATAATTCACGTTATGAGAGCAGGGAAAGGAATCCATTTGAACAGAGCATCGAATCATCGGAGACTTTTAAGGGATTAGTACCGTCAGAGACCTAATCCATGACAACATTCGAATCAGAGATCGCAGAAACAAAGGATTCGGACGGCAGAAAGGCAATTCCATGTTCCCAGCAACATATTCCAAATCGATCAGATTAGCAGTTAAAAGCGAGGGAAAAAACAAAAAAGGAAACAAAGCCAATATGAAAGAAAAAAAGCACAAAAAAAGGAATTTTGGCAAAGAAAAAGAATCAAACGTACGATTTTAATCAAAAAGATAGGAACAAATGCGAGAGAAGGGAAAAGATCAATTCCTTAACTTTTTCCTGAATAGAAACCGAAGGAAGACCGAGAACAGAAAAGAAAGCTATCTTCTGCTAGCGAAAGGAAAGCCCTTTAAAGCAACGGAAAGGAAGGAACACAAGAACGCGAAACCAAATCCAAGCAGACACTGCCTTCAAATCAAGCAATCTCAACCAAAGGGTCTCACGAGAACCCAAAAGAAGCAAACTTAGAGCAATAACCCAAGGACTCTTCCAAGAACAGGCATCAGATCCATCAAAGATACTCGCCTTTCGGTACCTACCACCGGTTGCACCAAAACCACTCGATCCAAAAGAACTCGGCCTCCCATAACAGGTCGAAGTAATAATATATAAAATGAAGCTCGATTCCTTTCTGGAGAAAGGCAGACTGGAAGAAACAAAGCCAACGGGAACACGCAAGCGTCAAGCTCTCACCTTTGTCTCTCTCTCCCTGTTTCCTTCCTCTCCGCGGAACGGCCGCCTTCGAGTTTCCTTCCTGTCTTCCACTTCCAGCGGAGGAGCAAGGAGCGAAGCTTCGAATTTATAGCGCGAGGGTGACGAAGAGGAGCCCGCAAGGGGCGGGGGAGACGACCGCTTAGTCGCCCACTGGCTGCAGTGCGACCGAACAATTATTGCAGGCTATAGAGCGACGGCGTCGGGCCATGGGATACGGACAAGAGCGGGAGCCATCGTCCATTACGAGCCTTGGGACCAGCTAATCGAAGTGCTCGGTGTCCTCACCACAGATCGCTCCGCGGAGACGGCACGAATCATTAAGTTGATCAGAGTTAATAAGATGCTGCCACATCAGCATTCTTCCTTTTTTTATGAATCGGACTCAATTTGATTGCCCCATTAGAGAAATTAGATATATGTTTAGAATTCAGTCACTAATCTTTCTATAAATTTGATCAAACTAATCCTTTTAGATATTTAATGATGTCTTAATCGAGCCTAACAAATGAGCTCATCTTTAGTCTCAAGCCTTCTTGTCAAAGCATGTAATTGCAATGCGATCATAGGATTTGGTTTGAACAATAGACAAAGACCTAAGAGTTAATTAGCAGTTGCTTGGATCCATTTGGATTTTGTTCTGATGATTTAAATTACCTAACAGATTTGTTCATAATAGTTAGTCCCGAAATCATAAATTCATCGTTACCTAAATAATAATAATTCTCCATCACCGCTCGTTCACCTAAAAATTTTAATCCTTTTAATAAAAGTGATTGTGAATAGGGTTAGAATATTGTAGTTAAGTGATTCTAAAAAGGAGGAGGAAAAGATTAAAAAATAATAGAAAGAAAGAGAAAAATATAAAGATAATATAAAAAAACTATTCTCAATCATAAGCAATGTTTTCATCTATCAAATCTATAGTAAATTCTTGTTATGATTACTTAAAGAGATTTTGAGTATTGTGCAATGCGACATAATCCTTGTATCTCAGTTATTCACTTGTGATTGTTGCTTGAGTTTCGGACAAGAGATTCGATATTTGTATATTTATTATTTTTACAATAGATTTTCTCTTGTTTATCTCGTGATTTTTACCCTTCATATTTAATGGATTTTATACGTAAATTTTGATGTTATATTTGATTATGATTTTTATTTAATTATGCTATGTGTTACGATATACTAGTTTTTGTTCATATACAAGTCCTATCTTTTTATCCCATTCGTCACGAGAGTATAATAAATAGCAAGCACAGCGAGTACACAAAAGTCGAATTAATATGGGGACATATGTGAATGACCCAAATGATATCAAGAAATATATATCGTTGACTAAAACAGCAGTGTGAAGGGTTGACTTTGTTGTCGTGGACTTAGATCATCCACCAGAATTCATGTGAACAAGATCAAAAAGGCCCGAAAGATTTATCAGCACCAGTAAGATTCATTCTCCTACGAAACCTGTGGCAGTATCTGTTGGGTTTCAAAGTGAATCAATTAAGTCGGATCTTGACATGCCTAACCTTATCAAGAAAAGCTTGCAGTCGTTGTTCATGGCTTTTATGCATTTTTTTTTTAGTCGAAAAGATTCATGCTGTTTCTTAATTTCTACAGGTGCAGCCACTGCAAGTATTGACTTCTCAATTGGATGGAGTAGAAATTTTGTTATTTGATAGGATTTTAGTTTAAAAAATCTTAGTCAAGAGTTCTTGGATTTTAAAGTCTTGATTTTACATTTCGATAAATGAAATGTTTATATAATGCTTGAAGCATATAATTGAAAGAATATGAATTAGAGCATATGCTCAGAGATTCGGAATCTAAGAAATTATAAATTTCATATATATATATATATATATATATATATATATATATATATATATATATATATATATATATATATAGAGAGAGAGAGAGAGAGAGAGAGAGAG